TCTCCAACTGATCATATTTTGTTTCCCCAGGTTAACAGCAGGCAAGTCTCACATTACGGATTCTTTTGTTCACATATTATTGCACAATTTCCTTTTTCTGCATATAAAGGATGTAGCCTTTAATAGCTTATAAGCATATCATTATAAGTTATTTTATGCTAGGACACCATTTAAACTAAGGAAAGCTATTAAACACAATTTTCTGTCAACTGGATTTCCTGAGCACTGCTGTTAATCAAAGTAATTTTAACAGACTCATATCTACTTGATAGCCATTTGGTTCTAGGTTATGTGAATATGATTTTGAAATGTTTTTGATTTATGGCAGTGCTCAGGAATTTCATACCTAGGAAAACTTAATTTTAATAGGTCTGAAGATGTCAAGGACCCACAACAGTTAAGTATTGAACAAGGGAAAGAAAAGAGCTAAGTATTACGGCATGTGAACACTAGGGCTTTAGTACTTTGAAACAAGTATTTCAGTCTAACCATTGCCTGGAAGCATTCAGCACTAGTTAAATATGGGTAATGTTTTATCAAGCCTGCCTGCCTTCAGAAACTTTTACTGTAAATTTAATTCCACCTCCCCGACTTTTTTTTTTTTTTAATATGCACATATGGGGATTATTACCGTACTGGAAAATGACAAATTTTGATTGTTTTTAATATTACTAAAAGTGACGCAGCATTAGAAATTTCAGTCTTTTACAAGGTAACTACCACCAGTGTGCACAGCAGATTAGTAAGTTACATTTTTATCCAGTGATTTAAATTCCTTTCTGATTTTTTGACTTATTCCTACTCAGAAGTAGACTTTGCTGTACTAGGTGAACAGGTACCACAGCTCCAGAAATGTAAGATAGTTTTCTTTTAGCATTTCATAATCTTGTTCTTTTAAGGTCTTTAAAAGTGSATTTGAACTGAGGTGTGTAACAAAAGCACAAACTAAATGAATTTCCAAGGTGAAATTTACTGATGAAATTACCACATAAAAATTTGATTGGACTTTTTAGGAAAAGTTCATTGCTATCTGTCTGGTTTATGGAGTTTCTGTGTATATCCATGTTCTAGAAATGTTGGATTAAAATGGTGGCCACTAAGTCATCTCACTGCTCTTGCAGGCAGGCAGACCAAATACTCTTMTCAGAAACAGATTCAAATTCCTTCTTACGTGTGGTTATGTTTTTTACTCTTTTCTATTATATAGCTGCTCCAGAACTATTCTTTTGGTTCAAAAAATTATATATATTTTTTAACAAAAATATTAAAAAGCATCTATTCTTTWGTCAGTTAATCTCAACTTGGTGCTATTTCTAAAAGTGACCATATCCTGTGCCACATGCTCTAGGTGACCCTGAGTGTGCAGTGGGGTTGGACTAGATGATCTCCAAAGGTGCCTTCCAACCTTAAGGATTTTATGATTCTGTAATATTCTTCCCACCCTTTATTATGCTCACAGTATCACAGAATCTCAGTGTCACAGAATCACAGAGTGGGTGAGGTTGGAAGKGACCTCTAGAGATCATCTAGTCCARCCCCCCTGTCCCAGCAGGGAAGCCCAGAGCACGAGGCACAGGGCGGCATCCAGGTGGGTTTGGGAGATCTCCAGAGAAGGAGACTCCACAGCCTCCCTGGGCAGCCTGTKCCAGGGCTCTGGCACCCTCATAGTGAAGAAGTTCCTCCTCACATGGAGATGGAACTTCCTGTGTTTCAACTTGTACCCATTGCCCCTTGTCCTGTCACTGGCCACTAATGAGAAGAGTTTGACTCCTTCCWCCCTATATTCATCTGTCAGGTATTTATACATATTAATCAGTATATATATCATTTATACATATTAATCATATTAAACACTAAAGAAGTCCACTTCTTCTATCCTGGTCAGTTATGTGCTGAACTGCACTGCAATAACTTGCAGCCTGTTGTTTTTTAGTTCATCTGTGACATGCACTGTTTTTTTTTATACCACCCATTCCAATGGGCTAAAAATGCACTTTTTCAGTTTTACCACTATAGTCTAGCAATTTGAGGGAGATGCAGCAAGAACACAAAGAATTGACTGAGGAAAGGACAYGATACCAAAGTATGAAAGCTTTAAAGAAGTGAGTGAAGCAGTACAGAGTGTATGTGTGAGAGTGTGTTTGGAGCTAAGAAAGAAAGAAAGAAAAAAAAGTAATTCTTGTTCTATTTAAAATAATGATAAGGTTAAAAAAAAAAGTATAAGAAAATGCTGATCGTTTTTCATTTTAAATTTCTTAGTACCTAGTTTTAAAGTTCAGCTTAAATGGAGGTAGTCCTCCACTGTGACTTTTAGGATGAAAGGAATCAAGTATTGCAGCATTTAATTCTTTAGGTCCGTATGAAATCGGGGACTCTGAGCAAGGCGTGTGGCTTTCAAAGCAGTGCCTGGCAAAGCTCTCTGTTTCTGGGTGGCACTCACAGCAGCCAGCTTCAAAGCAGGGAATTGCCTGCAGACAAACCTGGACTTGCACTTAGGAGGAGCAGTACTCAGTGGAGAACCTCCTTCTGACTGAAGGAACAGGCAGGATAAAGATGCTGTCTGATTCAGGAAGCAGCTGAAGTTACAGCTTTGAGATGGTAGCATTGGCATTGGATAAAATATGTGTGTCCAAATCGTATTTAGTAATTAACACTGAATGCAGAGTATTTTTTTTTTTCTTTGTCCCATGGCTGAAACCAAAGTGTTCTCATTTCTTAGGAAGTGGAGTAAGAACTAGACCACAGTAGACTACAGGATCATGTATTAGGGACACGTCACTTGGAAATCATGACTTCTCTGTTGGGTAAAACAGGTGAAATGAGGACTACTCAMATAAAGCAGCTGCTGATTAAAGCACATTCCCATCCACACTGCTTGCTGCCACAGGACTGCTCAGATAGAAGGAAAGGAGTTTGATCTTAAGCTGAATTCTCCTTACGTTAGGCTAACCCAGAAAGTCATGACCACCAGCAACATGGTCGTACCTACCAGCACCACTGCTGTAGTTTTAAAGGGGATAAAAAGAGAAGGCTCAACTCAACTCTGCTCAGTTACTGTCTTCAACCATGAATTCCAGGTGGTGGATCAAAAGTCATAGGGTACATATCTCTGCAATGCTAAATCAGTTACTAAGGTTCAAGGAGGGATGAGATTTTAAATCGACCTCAACGTTTACTATTCCTTAGTAGCTTCCTTTGAAGTAGGTCTTAGATTTGCTGATCTAAATCTTACTCTAAGACTCTGGCCCTGTGAGATGTGAGAAACTGAGGAACATGCTGCTGGGTTTTTACATTGAGGCCTCGATGCATAAATGTTCACTGCGTCTGTTATTCAGCCTAGTTCATCATACTTAATCCTTATGCYTGTTTTTTGGATAAAGACTCCTTTGAACTGCCAAGTAGGTAGAATTTGGATATTGGTATACTGAGAAACTGACTCTGAAAAGTGTATGTCAGTACCTGTTTTTCTTGCCCTTTTTTTCAAGTTCAACATCTATACTTAACCTTGATTATAGATCTTTTTATGCCTAAAAATATACTGAATTTCAAGGGAATAAATATTTTTTCTGACTAACGCTACCCTATCTTCAACTGACTAAAAATAAAAAGGCCTAAGATGCAGCTGGTATTTTGTATATTGATACAGGTAATTTATATCAGGTTACAAGTATGGGTTCAGAGCCAATAAATGTAAACATCTGAAACTGAATAATATATTTAAGAATGTCCATATCACATTTATTTTAATTAGTTATGATGGGTTTATTTTGTGTAATTATAAAGATGTGTTCATCCTTGATCTTTGGCCTTATGCGATCCAGGAAAAAATGAAATATGTGCTGCTTCATCTTCAGTGTCAAGTTATTTTCCAAGGTATGAAATAGAAATTACCTTTATCATCTAAGTAAAAAATTCAGCTCTTCCCAGTTTTTAATTAAGAATTGTTTATCTGATTCAGAAGATGATGGAAAGAAGATATTTATTTGCCTCTGATTGCCGAAAGGTGATCATACTTCTAAAATTTGCTGAGATTGTCCGAGAAAGTGTATAAAATCCTCATCCATCACTGTGAGCCCCTGGTCAGGGAATGACAGTGCAGTAAATATCTTCAGCAGCTGCCTTTTAATGTACAAGCTGTTTTCGGTAGGAATTTTCAGCGCTCACATAAAACACACTGTCATGAGTGACTGCCTGTGCTCCAAAGTCATTACTATTGGGATGATGGAACATCTTTCAGCGAATAACCAAAAAACTTTAAATGTCATGTCAAGTTTGTTGAAGCCATTTTCAAGCCTTGCTCAAGGTTACATGAATATTGAGTATGCCTGTTTGTGAGAAGCTGGAGATCTATGAGAAGGATCATTCAGATGCTGGTATAGTGAACAGGCACTTGATTTAAGGGGAAAAAAAAAACAACCCTGTTGCTATATGTCAATCCAGCAAAGCTCCTGAATCTTAAACTGGTATCACTTCTTGTGACAGGAAAGACCAGTAGTGTTTAGCAAAAAGTAGCAACATCTATGCAAACTTCTAAAATTATTTTTTAGCCACCTAAAAGAAGAATGAACGAAAGAAGAATGATCACCATGGATAATTAAATTGAAATAGATTTTTTATGAATTTTAAAATTAGGTCAATTACAAATATGTAGGAAACATAATTATCTAGATATAATTTTGGAAGCCTCTGCAAAATGCTGAGAGCTCTGTTTTCTGTTTGACTCCAGTGTGAGAGGAAGATCTTGGCAGCATCTATCCCCGATTTTATGGGAAATGGATGCTAATTTAATGAAGGCATGCAAACGCTGTATCATTTCCAATGGGTCAAGCCCATTGCTTCTGAAGTGATACTAATGTATTCCTCCCTGGCAATCATTCCTTCTTCTAGTACTTCCTCTGCCTGTAAAATTTTGTCTGATCAAGACGTGTTTTCCCATGAAAATACTCAATTTCAGTATTTTTTGATTGTGAATGAGCTTTATTTTGTTTTATCTTCCACAGAGAACCAGAAAGYGCAACCGGAGAAGTCGTGTTCACACCACGGTATCAGTTTAAACTCGACAAGAAGCCAAGTCACCAAAGAGATTTCTTATGACATGGAAGCAAATTCCTCCACACCGTGGAGCAAAGCTGCTGGGAGAAAGGAAGCCTGTAATGGAGAAGGCAACAAAGAAAAGAAAATAGAGCGTATTGGGTCTCCTTCGAAGGGAGAAGCCATTCCAGAAGTGGAAGCTCTTTTGGCAAGACTGCGAGCACTGTAGGCTAATGGCATAAAGGATTATATCCAAACACGCTATATTAGCTTAAATCTTGTAAAAATACATGGATTTTCCATTACTGACATTACATATTTTTGAGTACCCATTATGTGAATACTCCATCCCTAAAGTGTACAAAGTGATGCTATAGTCTGGCTTAATGTAAGCAGGTTTTTATATGTTTTTACCTGGTGAGAGTGCAAAAAAAATATTAGAAGAAACAGATACTAAATTATTTCAAGGCACGATCCTTTTAGTGGACACACTACTGACCACAGCTGTTTTGAGAGCTTCTCAAAATAGAAGTAAAATGCATTCTAAATATTGCTAGATCATCATGCCTGGGAATCAGGGTCAATAAATAACGGGAAAAGTATTCTTATATTTTTTACTACAAAAAAATTTTTACTACTGCTTAAGTAATTTTAGCACCTAAAAAAGTATTATTATAGCATTCTTTGCAATTATAATGATGGGAAATGTGCATCATATAAATTTCTCAGCTATGTTCCAGTTTGCCTTCACAGAAGAGCACCAAAGCTTCCTAAATTGCATATGCACCTACAAAATAGAAATCTATGGGCAGTAAACAGGAAATCTATGCAAAGAATATACTTTATGCATGATTAATATATCCTTACTCTTAAGCTTAGGTAAGGTGATTATATCAAAATAGTATATACAGTTTCAGTGAATGCAATGCTGCTTAAATCTTTCTTAAAGTTATTTACCAAAGTAATTTTTTAACTTTTCACATATGAGTTAATATGTTTCTGTAAAAAGAACATATGGGAAAGATTTCTGCAATTGGTTTTTCACAACCTCATTTTCCAGTAGCCTGTAAAGTCGTATTTGCTGGCACAATAGGAATCTCACACGTAATTGCATCTCTTTTATCGCACTGTCATTGTACATTGTTACATGTTTGCTATATCATATTTATTAATTGCACATCATAAAGAATTGCTACCTATGTTACCAAGTAGGGAGCTACTGTTAGTATCTTTGCCCATTATTTAAAGCTCCCTTATAATAAGAGTGTATTAGTTATCTAATATCTTTCTTCCAAATTACTCCATTTTTCTTTACAAAATCCTGAAAAATATGTCTTTCAATAAGAGGCAGTTACATGAAACCAGTGTTTCAATGCTTCAGTGCTTTTTATATCCTTGTTTAAGTTGCCTTCTTACTTTCTGCACTAAACATTAATAAAGTTAATTAGAACTCTGAAACTGGGCCTGTTTATAAACACTGCATGGGGTGTTTTTCAGCCATCATGGGAATCAATCTCTTGTTTCTGGGGCTGTTGTAACTCTCCAATTACACTTCTTGCTTTGATTTTAGAAAAAAAAAMCCCATAAACAGAAATCAGATATGGAAAAATGCAGAGATATCCTATCAGATGGTYATCTCTTCAGCCCTACTTGCAAGCAGTGGTCAAAGCTGTCGTACAGTGCTGCTTTTGGTAGCTCAAAATAGCACAGAATGGGGGTTTAATGCATCTTTAATGGATGAGTAGCAAGTGCTGGTCCAAATATTCTAGAAGAGTATGAGTCACACGGGAATTGGCAATTTCCTGTGCAGTTACTTAGTAAATTGTATGCAATATTTGTATGACAGACAACTATTTTTAAAGTTCCACCAAACTCCTTTACACCACAATTGTCAGGACTTTGCACCCCCATTTACAGGGTACAGTCCAAATCACAATCTACAGAGTGCATTCTGTTTGACTAAAATAGTATTTCAAACACAAAGGAAATATATGCTGAAGGAGAAGAAAGTATTAAACATCTATTGGATCTCTTCAATTGCTGAACAGGTTCTAAAAACAAAAGCATTGGGGATGGAGAACTGTATATAAGGCAGTGATCTTATGAATGTGGAAGAACGAATTCATTGCCCTGAATTCAGTAAATCTCTTTATTTGAATTAGTGGCCAATAGTCCACTGAAGAAAACTGACTTTTCAGGACACTACTGTGTAGTTATTCAGAAAAATAAAATTTGCTAAACTGTGTTGGAATTTTCAATGAGAGCTTCTAGCAGCCTAGCGTCTTCTATTTTTAAATATTTATACTTAAAATTAGAGATTTAATTACCTTTTCTTTTACACTGTGAGACGATTTAAGAAGTGGGATGCTTTTAGTCCCACTTAGACATTGTATTTCTGAGTTGATCTATACAAGTAGCCCTCAAATTAATTCTTGGTTTCTTTTTAATAATAATAATAATAATAATAATAATAATAATAATAATAATATAATATATAATATATAATATAGGGCTATACAACTTCTTAGAACCCATTCAAATACAGTATGTAATTGTTTTCCCCTTCACTATTTCTTTGAACAATCATAATTTACCCGATTCAGAGTTGTCCAATTGAAGTATGCAGTGGGTTTTCTTTCTACATTTCATCTCTCTGTAACTTAACTTGTAAGAAAGAAAGAAAAAAAAATGCAGAATGCACAGGACATTTTTAGTGGGAAAAATACTTCCATTGCCTTTTAAATATAGGTAAAAATAAATCTGAAAATCACAGAATCTTCAAGGTTGGAAGGGACCTCTAGAGATCATCTAGTCCAACCCCCTGCTCCAGCAGGGACACCCAGAGCACRGGGCACAGGGCGGCATCCAGGCGGGTTTGGGAGATCTTCAGAGAAGGAGACTCCACARCCTCCCTGGGCAGCCTGTGCCAGGGCTCTGTCACCCTCACAGTGAAGAAGTTCCTCCTCACCTGGAGATGGAACCTCCTGTGTTTCAGTTTGCACCCATTACCCCTTGTCCTATCACTGGCCACCACTGAGAAATGCTTGTCCCTGGGCTGACCTGCTGTAGAGCAGCCCCGCAGAGAGGGACCTGGGTGTCATGGTGTATGACAAGACGACCATGAGACAGCAGTGTGGCCTGGAGGCCAAAAGGTCAACRGGATCCTGGGGTGGATTAAGAAGAGCATCTCCAGCAGGTCGAGGGARGTGATCATCCCCCTMTACWCAGCCCTGGTGAGGCCACATCTGRAGTACTGTGTCCAGTTCTGGGCTCCCCAGTACAAGAGGGATGTGGAGCTGCTGGAGAGAGYCCAGCGCAGGGCTACCAGGATGATCAGGGGCCTGGAACATCTGCCCTATGAGCAAAGGCTGAGAGAGCTGGGCCTGTTCAGCCTGGAGAAGAGAAGGTTGAGGGGGGACCTGATCAGCGTGTATAAATACCTCAAGGGAGGCAGTGAGGAGGAGGGGTTGGCCTCTTTTCRGTGGTGGCCAGTAATAGGACTAGAGGAAATGGCCACAAACTGAGGCACTAAAAGTTCCATAGGAACTTAAGGAAAAATTTCTTCCCTGTGAGGGTGCCAGAGCCCTGGAACAGGCTGCCCAGGGAAGCTGTGGAGCCTCCTTCTTTGTAGATCTTCCAAACCCACCTGGGTGCCACCCTGTGCACCATGTTGTAGGTGACCTTGCATGTGCAGGAGGGTTGGACTGAAAAGTCCCTTCCAATATTAAGGATTCTGTGATTCTAGTTTTACTTTAGTTTTTAAGTATTTGGGAACACTTTTACTGCTGTGTGCTAGTTAGGTTTAGTAAGACATCTTTACTGAGTACCAAGTCTATTGCTTGAACTATGGGATTGAACCATATACTGTGTGCTAGATATTGAGGAAGGTTTCACATACAGTAAAAATCTTCTGTTTCTATAGTGCACACTTGAAAATTAAATCCTCATAAAAAGCTTTCTGCTTTCTTCCAATATGCCTGTTCAAATAAAAGCGTTCTATATAAGATAATATTATGAGATGCATTGCACTGCTCATCCTTTACTTGAGCAGCACACACAAGGCACAAATACCAACAGCTTTTCTGCTCAGCACAGCTGTAAAGGTCTCACACATCTTTTTGATTCTTCGCATTTATTGTGGATGACTTTTCATTTCACTCAGTAAAAGAACTTTGATGACTACATCAATTTTTATTTTATGTATACCATATTATTCGTGACCGTGGTCTAAATTCCTATGTCCCAAATTGTAATGTTTTGACCTTATCAAGATATTTATGTTTGCTATCAGCCTCCTCAAGCTGCGTGCAACCAGGCCTGACATCAAGCTTATGGACCGTAGGTTATATACTGGGCCGTGTGAACCCAGTGGGGAAAACGATGGTAGCAGCATCTTTACAGAACAGCGTTAGCGCACCCAGAGGCAACACTTGCCCCGAGATGGGACCATCTTCTGAACCAGGAGCTCCAGGGATGGAGCAGGGACCAGCAACCTGAACGGATTTTAATTACTTGGGCACCACTTAATGGTGTTGGASCACACGTTATGAAAAAAAGATGTCACATACATAGAGTTGTTATAAGCCCCCTTCCTTCCACACACGTAAAATATCATTTTCCCTACTTTACTCACCTAGAGCCACTGCACGTGCCTCMGTTTCACCCTGGCCCAGCCAAAGCCCCTCTCTCCCAAGCTGAAGGTGTCAGTGCTGGGTGGTCTGAGCTGCTCCAACCCTTCATGTTTTTTGGAGAACCTGAAAAAGAAGAAATTTGCTGCTAGCACTCTCTGCACATCCCTTTCTGGTGAACAGGACTAAATTACAATGTTTTAAGGTGCTCTTTCTAAGCATTGCAATACTTTGCAACTATAAAACAAATAGGCAGCAAGCAAGGGTCAATAAAACTCACAACTATGCTACCTAAAACATTATAATAAGCAAGTAGGGTCAAATAAAAAAGCTCAGGGAAAAATTACATGAATGGATCATTTAGAACAAAATACAGTACAGCCCAAACACTTCTTTTCTAATGCATGGGATGTGTGGGTTTTACACAACTGAACAAGAGCAGAAAAATGACTTCACTTATAATTCAGTCTTGTGCAGTTTATGAAAAAAAAATTAATAGACCTGTGGATTTTACCRGCTTTGAGTCTCATTTTATGCCAAGCTTCCCAAATCTGAGAAGTTCTAAAATGACCATCTGCTATTAAATTAAGCATGCCATGGATTAATCAATCTGAATTAAATCATTTTAGCGTATAAAACAAACACATTTTCTTAAAATGCACTTTCCACATCAC